GGAAAGTTCGAGCCATCCATCTTTTCACAAATGCTGAACACCTACATGTAACCCTACACGAAATGCGCGATTCGAGGCTGGCGCTCCTGGCGCACCGACGGTGTTGCTGCGCTTGAAACTCTACTACGTATGGCGACCAAAATCATTAAGGGATCGTTTCACCGGCCCTAGCAACGTAGATGGCAAGCCCTCGTAACATACGGAAATGAATTACGGCGTCAACGAGGAAATCTCTCCATGGTTTGCCTAATACTGGTGAACTCCAATCACGCTTGTCATGGCTTGTTGCAGCTCAGACAAAATAGTAACATGAAAGGTAACTAAATCGAAGTAGCCACCCAGTACAGTCGACATCACGGTCTAAGTACAGTTTTCCTACTCTGGGTTTACTGAACATGGAATGCCCTTCCAACTCACGCCACTTTTGCCCCCACCTTAATGCTTTTCAAAAAAGCACATTTACGGGTGGCTGTCTTATTTACATTACGTGATATAGTCGGTTTCACTTGAAACATTAGATAACGCGAACCGACTCGTATTTAGCAACCCTTTCCGCATCGCGGCAGTGAGTAAACCTGTACACGCACTCATGTGAATAACTTGGTAACTCCCTTAATAGCTCAAGTTTCGCCTCTTTACGTCATTTTCTCTGTTTTTATATCTCCCACTCCGGCCCTATTATGGAACTTGTCAGGCATTCGCCTTTTACCCGTCACATATCTTCCTTCATGGTTCAAAAGCTGGTGTTCTAGGGATGTTCTAGCTGTCCAGTATATCATTCACGTAGCCCTATGGCCCTTGGGCTACTCGTAACCCGTACCAGTATACGAACAGCGCATTCGACATAATCTGCGCGTGATCACGCAGTTTTGGCGCTCCTCTGTATATGAATTTATTATACATTGTGTTATGTCACAGTAACCCAGTTGCGCTCATTCGACTCAGCTGTACCAACTCTATCCGGTAGTTTGTTAAGCACGGTAACTATTCCCCCTCCTCATCACTACACTCGTATTGCCAGGTTTCCAGGTGTCTTGACTGAAACGCAAGCAAGCAGCCACATACTGCTATTCGAAAAGAAATTCATGACAGTCTAACACACCTTATGTCATGACTATCTGACATTCTGTACGGCAGCTGCAGCCACCATTGAAATTGCTGGCGGTGCATCTGTTCGAACACCGCCAAGCCTATCCGCAGCAAGCACATCGCACCAGCCTACCAGTTTTCACCCAGTCGGCAACGATCGATGTGCCCTTGACTGCGTCTCTACCAACAGCTGCCTTAACCCTCTGGCCAAACAGTAGGGATAAAACGCACCCCTCACGTCATATGTGCGGGTGTTTCGGCGAACGTGGGAACTCAAGACAGTGTTGAAAATTGAAGTGGTATCAAGGAAAGACAAGTTGATTTAGATCTTTTACTGACCTTAACAGGTTACAATTTTCCAAAACTTCAGATAGAAATGAAAATCGAAATAACCCAGAAAACTTAACGATATCACCTCTTATCATGCACCACACTCACGAAACCAACCACAATTCAGCAATTTCCTACAGTGCTTTTTAGTGAAGTCTGGAATGGATCACCAACCATTCTAACTACCGAAACAACCAGCGGCAGCAATTCATGTTGCTTCACTCTTCCTGCACTTCCTCCAAATAACACAGCTAACCCAATATCGGGGCAGTCCAAAGCTGGTCTTGTGATCTCGGTATTATCCACCTGGTCACGCTTACCAGCACGCACGAGCAATACACCTGAGCATATTATTGTTAACTCTAGACAATCGCTTAGTTGAATTCTTTCCTGTCCTTTTCGATTTCCAAAGCTCAGTAATCTCTGAGGTGCTTAAGGGGAACTTATATACACCATACATGTTGGTTACCTTTTTGCTTATCGCAATTAGTGTACGATACAGCGACAAGAAGTTACATTTTAGATGTATGATATACAGTGAAGCGCCCCAAATGTATCTTCCTTACCGAAACTTGATAAGCATTCAAAAGAGGAACTATGTCACAGAGCAGTCAGTCTACGGACTGGTCAATGAGGGTCGTCACATTAACGACCCAATTGGGAAGCGTTTACTGTTTTTATCGCTGCATAATTATGCCTGGAATTTAATCGTAAAACCTTCTGCTTGGAACTTATAACAACAAATATCTCGTGCGATATGCAAATTTTCTTTTTGAGCACAAAGCACACTATGACATTCATGAAAAATCCGTTCAAGCTGAATTCCGATGGCGTCTTTCATCTGTCATTAAATTCGGGAAGAATGATGTATCGCATTTTTTGCTAAACAGGATCACCTCATGGTAGGAAACTGGCGATTTCCGAAGCAGCGGGAAACATTTGTTCAAATCTCTAGCATAAAGTTGGTCCCAATCAGAATGTCACTTATTGCCGATATTAACTTCACACTTCCGTACTTGCTAACTGCTCTGGAGGTTCCACGCTAATAACCTTCGTCGAACGCTTTGTCTTGATCAAAAGAATGATGATGGATCTCTTAGTCATGATCTTTTCTCAGAGGCGTTTGTAATGGAATGGACTACTAAGACCGGAACGGCTTGTTATATAGTGCCAACGACGGACATCACACCTCAATCCAGACGCAACTCTAGCCGCACACAAAACCCAGTAACTCCGCTCCCGCTTGATCCAAGACGGACATCGTACACAGAACAAGCTAAGGGGCCAGGTGTTAGGAGGGTACGTCTTCTCGAATGCAGACAAAGGAAGTTCGCGAATGGTGGTCCCTCAATCTTCTGCTCCAAGGACCAGAACGAGCTGGGCCCAAGGCCAAACCCAGCTAATGCGCAACGATTTGATTGCAACACACCGGAAAGACGTCGATCAAAAGGTTAGCGTTGCTTCGAGAACAGCTCCAATGGTCGATCTAGCCACAACTAATGCAGTAATGTAATGTATGTATGTAGTTTTACTCACGTTTGGTTCACGTTTTTGGTCTCGAATAAGCTACAGCTTACCATGTACCTGCCCTATTGTTCTTACTTGTTGGGCACTCGTCTACTCTGGCAGCGTTCGACACATTGCTAGATTGTTCAAACAAATTGTTTAACTTGGTACATGAGCTTTATCTGCTTTCTTGAACAGTGTTGCAAATCCTAGTACGGAAGTCTTTATAAATGGTTCCGCACAGCTTGTCATCTTCACTATTGGGATTTCATGACATAATACAACGACTCAAGTTACTCCGTTATGCTTTTCTTCTCGTAGCTCCGAGAGGCATACAAGCCGGTGTCACACAACGGCCACCAAAATATCGAATCCCTTTTGTTCAGGGATCCACTACCATCTTAGGTAGCCACTGGCGGATCGAGCATTCCCAGATAACCACTCTGTGTGTCCACTACTCTTTCCCTCTTCCAATCACCCATGGTGCTATACAGGGCGGCTTACTTGGTCTGTCACTTTCCCTACTCGATAACAAGGATTTCAGTGTGTCCATCATATATGGCAGATCGCTTTTATTTGCTGACAACATTACTGTTTTTTAAAAGTTTTGATGAGATCAGCTGCAGAGCAAAATGTGGTGTGACACAAGGCTGACCAAGACCTCAGCAAACAAATCAAGCATTATGTACTACGAATGTTCAATGCCTGATGGCTAAATTAAATTCCATAATGAACACATCTGTGTAAAACTCTCCATTATATCCTTTCCGAACAGACAGAATCTCAAATAGTGCAGACCGGGTCGGCTAGGGTTAGCATATCATAAAACCTCAGTCATTAATCCTAGTCCCAACAAGAATTTAACATTTTAGAATTTTTACATTTCACATCCTTGGTTGCTGCAGCGTCACTTATCAAAAATGACCATGGGTAACTACAAATCTTCGGACCAGAGCTCTATAATGGCCATATTCCTTTCAGAACAATCCCCATATAAGTTATTCCAGGACAAACCAAAAATATACGGATAGTGGGAAAAGTGGTTAACAAGACCCAGCACCAACAAAATCTGTGCAATTCAGAATGCTTTAACAATCCAGATCCCACCAAATCCTTACCTCACTTATGCAGCAGCTAGATGATAAATTTACCTAATAACTCTCTCTATTGCAAAAACATCCGCCTATACATTTGAGAAATATTCACATCATTATTAGCAGTATTAGAAGTAGTGATTGTGTTGACCATAGTTTAATTGTGTGAATTGGTTTGTCTGTTATATGAAATGCTGTGGGACGTCGAGGCGAATACCGGAATCTTAATGCAAACACTGTTTAGCTACCCATAGCATCACCCGAATAACTGGGCGCGAAATAAAAAACAGTTGATGGACAAAAAGAGATAATACTTCTGTAACGTCATTGTCAATAATAAAATGATGGTAACTCAGGACGTTGTTAATTTATAAATAACTGTTACCGGTGTTACACGCGATATTGTACTTAGTAAACAGCATATGAGAACAAAGGTCATTCACTCTGCACTCTGTTTGTACGAAGTTCAAAGGATGTTTCAGCTGAGTAAAAGTTAACACTTCCAGATGCTACATGCGACCCTAAGATACACACATAAAGTGAATTGTTGCATGAGTGTGTCGTGTTTGACTTCGCCGATTGTGCGGAAGTGCACATTTTCGGTCATCACGTCAGTCTGAAGCGTGTTGAAACTATGTGGCGCCAATTGCGCTGAGCAGCACGCAGCGCCATCCAGCTATAACCGTCAAGTACATTACCTTCCCATCTTTCTACGCGTGGTCAAAACTGTTATCGCGTAACCTATGTCTAGTTGACTGGTATGAAAAATGTCGCTGGACAGGGTGAAGTGGTATCTAGTGGGGAAGTACCTAGGGACAACGAAAACGGAGTAGTAATATTTGAGGTAAATTTACCTCGAGATCCCAATGTGACTGTATGAATACTTGATGCAACAAGTAGGGTAAAATTAGAAAAGGAGTATGAAGCGGAGTACAGGAACTTTCGCCATGAGCAGAAAGTAAGATTTTATGGGTATCTCACCTTGTTAACCTCCAGTGCAGCATTCTTTTTTAAGCGTCGTCTATACGCGCCATCCTTTTGTGCCAGCGTCTCTAAGGCCAACGCATGGTCAGAGATGAGCTTCTGAAGTGTACTTTCCAGCTCACCATATTGTAACAATAGTATTTCTCGCTTTTCCCGAAAGTCTTCCAAAGCGTTAAGCTGCTCGGCTGTAGGATGAGAAGGTTAGTACTCCGTAATAGGTATAAAGCAAAACACAGATACAGGTAAACAGGAAGGATGCATAGTACCAAAATTACAGTTTACGTAGTCCTCAACTATGGTAGGCACAGTGAGCATGGTTATTGCACGAATTGTAGGGAAACTCCCTACCAGTTAGACTGATCTGACGATGTACATATTGCAGCTCAGTTCCTCACAAAACATATAAAAACTAGGGATAACAGAGGAAGTGCAGTGTGTGAGTAAAAGGCATAGATACGAGGGTCTAAGCCTCCAGATGGTGAAATTGAAAAGCGCAAGTGTTTCGTTAGAACCCCACGACTGCTTCCACCCACTAGCGGTAGTGATAGCACGAATAACCAGAGGCAATGGTTCAAGGTTTCTTTTACAAAGGGAAACCATTTCGTTATATAGCATGACGCAAGGCGAGAAAGCCAACCCGAGTATGGAAAACGTGTGAACCATTAAAGCCAATACAAACTGAACAAATGAAAAACCAATCAAGTACACACAATGAACGTAAAGTGAGAGTGATAGCGTCAGAGTATGGCTGCGATCTGAAAGCAAAAACAACGACTCCAAATGTTCAATAGGGATCGCGAAATGCTGCGCTAATGCAAACATCAGTGAACCACCAGAGCAAAACGAAAGCTTGCCGTCATGAACGGTTACAGAAGCAGACCTGTACTTGTATTGTTCCCCTAACAACAAGTCTGGGCGAAAAGGACAGAACTTAAACTACACTGTGGCGATTCTAAAGCTCTAAAGGATCCCTAACAACTGATGTGATTGACTCTTAGCTCTTCAATTTCGCAATCGACATGCATAAGCATGAACATTTCTCTCAGCAACTGTTTCCACAATTTAACCAAGTCATCTGTCGGCAGACTTCAAATTCATTGAACCCACACAGTTTTTGTAGATGAATTACGCGGAGGTAACCGGCCAGTAATCATACGAAGTGAGTGATTTAGCAAGTGCGAACGATGCGAATGTAAAGAATGATCCACTGTGGTATCTAAGGGTTGTTACCGAACACAAAATAGCGAACTCCAGCATTGTGTGCCCGCTTGCCACACTAGCATTTAACATCATTGCACGAATTTGAAATTTTTGTGTTGTGCTCTCAAAATACTGCAGTCCGAAAACACTTTGGGCACTCCGAAACTCCGCAATCGATTCTTAACCCTATACTAAGCATTTCTTGCAGCTCTCAGTTGCCTACTGGTCAGTGCCTTTATCGTCAACCCCTATGTGCAAGGTGCAAATCACGGCTCCGGTTATCACTATCTCATGAGTCCAAAAGAGGACGAAACGCGTCGTGGATGCATCGTTTGGAGCGATCAACGCCTAATTCCTATCCACTCCGGATACAGCCGTGGTGATGGGAATGACCGAAGTCCACTCCAGAGTAAGCGAATGTCCCACTAGAGATTGCGTGTCGCACTCCGAAAACACGGCGGTTACGCCAAAGTCCAACCATAAATAATTCAAGTGCATCGAGGGTGAACTCAATTAGTTCCATAGTATTTCAAAATGTATTGGGCGTTTTTCTGACTCACCTCGTGCTACTGAACTCATGGAAGTGTTATTAGAAAAGCTTATATCACTCGGTCTCTACAAGCGATTGAACAGTATATCAAAAAAATGTTAGCGAAAAAGCTTGTTTTCAGTGTTGTCCTCATACTAATACCAGTCAGCTGCAAGTAGAAGTACAGTTCAAAAATGCACATTCCCAAGTATCTATGCGTTCACGCTCGCCAGCGTTAACCGCTGAGCATTTTAAATCCATCATGGTCAATACATACTATCAGTACCTGAAGCACAGACCTAAAGTCAGGTATTTATTGACGGAAGTGCACTTTGACGCTCTCAAAGCGCTTAACCGGAACGAGAATATGCTGCTATCTATGAAGAATAAAGGAGCAGGGATGGTCCTTATGTATAAAACTGACTATATCGCTATGAATGCCATCCTCAACGATCATTCAAAATTCCGGATGATAGAGAAAGACAAAACAGCTTCGATAGAAAAGGCAGTCACAAAACTACTATGCTACCTGAAGCAAGAGAATATGATTGACTCAGTGGTGTTCGAATACATGCCTCCCTTCGGGACAGTGATTCCACCACTTTATGGGTTACCGAAAGTGCATAATGAAGGACTTCAACTGAGGCCAATGTTAGACATGTGTGACTCTCCATATCGCTCAACAGCAAAATGACTCGCTAAGCTTCTAGAACCGATCAGAAAAGTCCTATTTAAACACAGCCTCAGAGATACCTTCAGCTTCGTAGACTTCATAAGTCATATGCAGTTAACCGGAAGGAAAAGGTTTTCTCTAGATGTAGTGTCGCTCTTCACCAATGTTCCGCTGGTGGAGAAAATAAATTACCTATGCGATGCTGTTCGATTGCATCATGTGGATGTCGGACTCTCGAACGAGCGACTTAAATGGTTGCTTCTGATGTGTACCAAGAACGTACAATTCCTGTCGGACGGGAAGATCTACAGACAGAAGGACGGATTCGCAATGGGCTCTCCGTTAGGACCATTGTTGGCAGACGTATTTATGAGTAAGTTAGAGAACAACTATATGAGCGGAGTTATTGACAAATTAGTCTACTTACGGACGGTACGTGGACGATATACGCGCATCCCAGAAAGTCATGTTTGCACGGAAGAAATAGTGAGGAAATTTAACAGCCCACGCAAACATGAAATGAACCCTTGAATCCGAGTGTAACAATTCAATGTCGTACTTAGACGTTTAGATTAGCCGAAGATCTGACGGATCTATCCAGCGCAGTGTCCATAGAAAGACAACGTGAAACGCGAAGTATACTCGTTTTGTCAGCTTCGTTCTGCTCAGCCAGAAACGGAAACTTCTTCGATGCCTAGCCGAGCGAGCATGGATATGGAGCGTGGACATGCTTCCGGACGGGCTAAACTTTGTACGAAGCCTATTCGATAGAAATGGCCATACGGAGAGGTTCGTTTGGAGAAACATGGACGTGCGAGAAGCGTAAGCAAAAGTGGCTTCAGTAGGAAAGAAACCGATCTACTTATCGTTACCGTTCAAGGGGGAGGGGACAACTGAATTGGCGTCTAGAAGGTTTTCTAACCCCATCGCTCCAACGTTCTATGCAGCAAGCCTACGGCTGAGCTTCTACACGGTGCCCACCCTCAATCAACAACTTAAGGATAGAATGCCAAGGTCAAGTACTTCTTCTGTGTATACTCTTGTTCTTGCTCGTGTCGATCAAGATATATCGGAAGAACTACCAGGAGACTGTCCGAGTGAACTAGGGAACACTGTCCAGCTTGGTTGTATAGCGGCATGACTAAATCAGTGGCAAGCGCAATGTCTACACACCTGGTCGACTCGAGCCACCAGCTCAGAGCGCATGAGGCGTTCCAGTCCATCTACCGCGTACCCAGATGCCACACAAGAGCGGTTAGATGTCGTCTACTGGCAGCGGCCGAGGCATTAGCCATCAGGCTTCAAGACCCTGACTTATGTGCTCACAAGAAATTTGTCCAGGCGCTAACTGTACCCTGGTCCCCTGTAACACGCACACAGTGTGGACAACGTCATACACAAGCACACTCTTGGTCGCCGTGGGGACAATCACCTAGCTTGGTCACTCAGACCATCTGGGTTTTGAACCTGTGCGCTTATCTGATGTGTACGTTCATGTCATTCATTCGTGAGGTTATAGCCTGATGAGGAACCACTGGAAACGAGCTTGTTCGCTAACTTTTGTTATGATGTCTACTCTAGGGATATTTTATCAGTTGAACGACATACGTTCTGCAATGGCGTCCCGGATTCGTGTAATGACCAGTTCAGTGATGGGCCCATCAGAGGAGCTGCAGTACCGTAGGTACTTAAGCCAATGGATCATTTTGTGCTTGAATCATGATAGGAAGAACTGGCGGCGGCTCCGCCTCGTCAAGTAACAGTAGTTTTAATATGAAATGTCGAAACACATGCCAAAACATTCGGCCATATGCAGCATGCTATGCAGTAACGTTTGTATAGCCGTCGGTTTTGATCTAACTAAAGACATGCATTTGGCATCGCACGACGATCATTCATCAGAACCTCCATGTAGAAGAAACAGAGCGAAGGGAAAAGCTAAGTTGTTCATGAATTTCTCGACCACTAGAATATGAAGTAATGGAGAGTTAAAAGGGTCCAGAAGCATCACGCTTGATGTTATAATGTCAAAGGAGATGGTCCCGTGGATTAGCATTTATGATAATAAGCCTAGGGGCGGGAATTTTAGAGTACTGGGAGATTGATGCTGTTTGAACTTCGGGGATGGATTTCGACAGGAATAGCTACAATCTAATGTATCGAACCCGGTCTTCAACTCACGGAAGACTATGGTGGTGGGCTGCGTGCGTGACGATTAATCATTTGGCACAGAGTAGAAATGTAGCCGACGCGCCATTTACCGAGGCAGAAGACACCCTAACTTCTAATCTTTAGGGTACCAATGAGCAACCGATACGCGGTGCATGTGAGTAAGCTTGCAATAATGGAGATGAGAGTTTGGCCTCTATGATTTTTATATGACGTCTCTTGGTCCTTCTTAAGGATTAGGAAAGCTGCTTTGGAAATCGCCGACTGAGTAGCATGCTCCTTACTGGCCAAACGACGTCGAACAGAGTGGCTACACCAACTACCCAGGCGTCACATCCGACATTCAAAAACGAAGAGACTGGGTGTTGCGTACGCGATCGTGAAGAGTCGCGTTACTGCTGTGAGTCGCTGTTGAAACATCCCAGGTGCGTACACTTGTTTCAACTAGCCGCCATGACGTATTGTCCCAAGCTAATTGCTCTTCGAAACAGTTCAACCAACCAACAAGTATACGTGTGCGAAAGTTGATTAGCTACTTATTTTCTTCAACTATTGTTTGACTCACGGTAATCTGTCTTGTGTCCAAGCTTTTGACGGAAGCACTCCGTTGTTCA